CCGTTTTCTTTCCCCACTCATCTAAGTGTCACTGTGCAAAGTAAAGGTTAGTAGGGAACAACAGTAATAATAACATTAAATTTAATGTTATTAGATATTCCCAGACTGTACCATAAGTAGTAAAACGTACTTTTTGTAATTGCTAGCCCATCATTAGTGTATACAGAAGTGGTGCTTCAGAATTTACTAATGGACTTTTATCAGCTATGTTTGCTTGAATAAAGAGCCTAACTGAGCTATACAAATGTGCAAATATAACTTCTTTCAAGAAAAGTAAATGTCAAGTTTGGAAAGTATGCATTTGTACTACAGATTGTCTGAGTCAAAAAGATAAACTAAGACTTTTAGTGTAGAGCTAAGACTTTGTGTGGAGAGGTCATTAGTCTGTTTTGGCTCTCAATCTTCCTTCAGAGGCTAAGGACAACTTCATTTTTGTAACTTTTTTTGTTGGCATGTACTTTCTTGTTTCATTTAAAAGTTATTAGATTTGTACTAGCTGCTCTAAAGAAATAGGTTACACATCTAATTGTGATTTCTGTTTTTGTCTGTCTTGGAAAGTACAAGTGAAAAATGCTGATAATTTGATAAGGGTTTAATCTTTTTACTTGTTCTTGTGTTTATTACTACATTTAGCAACTACCCAAATGAAAGCCAAGTTATGTGCAGTAGAAGATAACACATATGATGTTTTTCTTTATGTGACAGTAAAAGATGAAAAGGTAAGATACTTTTATATCTGCAAACCTACTCACAGACTTTGCTGTGTAAATTACAACTTTGCGATTAGTTTAAGACTGAAAAGCGTTACTTGCAAGTAAATTTTGTAATTTCTGTCAGATACAGTAGAAGGTAATTCATTAACTTATTAGAGGTTTTGTTGAGTATTTCTGTTGCTTGTAAACTTCTGGAGGCATTCCAAGAGGCAGAAATCCCATTTTTCTGTATGTGAACCTCTTTTTGGAAGGCATTGACAAGCAAGTGAAGTCCAGCAAGTACTTCAAACGGACAACTATGTGAATTAATTAGTGCTTTTGCACTTTTTTGTGGTATCATGCTTAAAGATGTTTCAATAAGGCAGTTGCATAGTATTATAAAAACAAGTAGAAGTTCACACTTGCTTTTGCATAAGACTGAGTCCTCAAACCTTTGAAGAAAAAAAAACGAAAAAAAAACAAAACAGAAAACAAACAAAAAAAACAAACAAAAAACCCCCACAACAACAAAAACAAACGAACAAAAACCAACAAAAAACCCCACAACAACAACAACAACAACAAAAACCCACAAAACAAAAAACCACAAAACTAGTTCCTCTGTCCAAAATGTGTAACTTGTGCTAAATCTCTGCTGTTACGGTACATACAAATGAGTTTATTTGAATACTGCCTCTGCTTGGAGTGCTTTAGCAAGGCTTTTAACACTGGAGCTGTGGTCTTTGGCATAGACAATAACTTTGAAGGTACATATTAATTTGAATATTTTCTCTCAGTTCAGAATCCCAATTGGCAATAGTGTCACTGATCTATGAGCCAATGGAGTTTAAGAAGTTTTAGGTTTAATACTACTTTTTTCTGCCAGATTTTGACGCACGCTGAATCAAAAAGAAATAAACCAGTTTTTTTTTTTTAAAGCTAACAGGTTTTTTTTTAATTTTTAGGTGTCATAGAAAAAGTTAATTGAGTACAGAATTTTAGGCAGAAGCATGAAACTGACAACTTATTAACACCTGTTCAGAGAACATACAGGAAGATATGACTGACTTTCCTATTCTGGAATTAATATTCTTCAGAAAGCATTTGCTGATACTGCTTATGTCTTACTGCTGTTGTTTAAAGCTTCAAATAAATTATAAACAAGTATGTGGTGGTGTAGCTTATTGCTTGTTGATACTGGTCAAAAAAGATTTTGGTTTTTTAGGTATGCGTTAATGATGATCTTGTCTCGAAGAACTTTGCTCGTTTTGAGGAAGCTAAAGAGAATACAGGGAGTTCTGCAGATTATCAGGAGAACCAAACATCATTAAATGTTGAGTCTCTTCCAGTGAAAATTGTTAATCCTGCACTTGCTTTCAGGACAGTGCTGTTTCAGGAGAAGGTATCAACAAATCTTGAAACAGGTGGGAACCATGTGTGTTGGAAACAATCATACATGCAATGCATCGTGTGTCTTTAATTGGATATATTGAACATGAACCTACTGTCTTGGTTCGAATCCAACAGTTAGAGCAAATGGTATCCTTCTAATAAACGATGCGTATGTATCAGACTTAACAAAGACCAGTCAAATCATCAGATGCAGGAATACTGTAAAGCTTTTTGTACTGTGTAAGGCAAAGGAAGGCTGAGGGTGAGCTACACAGGCATTTGTTGATATGCTTAATAGCATTAGATATTATTAAAATTACTTGTGGCATTGATCAATGATGCATTACTGGTTTTGAATTTGGAGGGATTTATTTGAACAGAGGTACTTTAAAACGACCATTTACTGTGAGTTGTCTCATTTATAGTGATTCAGGTCTTTCTTTTTAAAAGTATGCAACTTTCCATCCTCTGTCCTTGTTCACTCAGTTCATCTGCATAGTTATCTTTATGTAAAGACAACCAATTTTTTGGTTGTTCTTTCTGCCATTGGGAAATAGTATAAGCAACTCAACAAGTCAGTCGCAACCCACTGTAAATAAAAATACTGGCTCTTTATGTGTTCAGATAATCAGAAATGTGGTTTTGCAATTTTTGCTTATCTTTCTAGGTCTTGCTGTTTCCAGTTCCTTTCTTGAAGAGACATACCAAAGGTCAAGCACAGATCTAAATGAAAATACTGCACCTGTAAGTATTACACTTTGTATTAAATTGTCAAAGATTAACTCAATTAAACATACGTAGGACAGATTAGGAATACTGTAGCCATCTAGCTTGTTCTTCTATGTAACACAGATCTGGGGGACTGCGCTAATTCTTGATATAGTTAAAAAAGAGCATTCTACTTCAGTTTCTTTTTTTAAATTGCAGAAAATTTTTTAAAATCTACTATAGTCCTTGAAAAGGTTGTGCCTCCTTTTGCATTCCTTTGCTATGGTTTTATGAAGATGATAGCTGCCTACACAACACAGTTTTCTGAATGTATAAAAATGTAAATTTTAATGTTTCCCTGAAAACAGAACAGTCCTTATGCTGTACCACGGTAAACATTCATTGGAGTGTCTTCTTATTTGTTGAGTTGTCTAATACTTTAAATATCTAATCTGGTTTCTTGCTATTTTCTCTTTTTTTGCTTGCTGTTCTTTTCTGAAGCATTTTCAAAAGGTCAGCGCTCATTCTTGAGTGTTAAATTGTGTACTGAATTGCACAGTTGGAGCTATTACAATGTCCATGGGAGGAAAGGAAAATGAACTGGTAGATTCTAGGCAGATAATCACTGTTGAGTGTATGCAATCTTAGCTTTTTTAAAGAGCCTGTGTGCTGTTCCATGTCCTCTTCGGCCAGATGCTTTAAAGGAGAAATTTGCTTCTATGATAGCAATGGAACTACTGTTACTGTCAGGTCAGGGGAAAAAAGGAGTTTTACAGAAGTTATTTTTTAGCTCTGCTGAGAATTGAAGGATGACAACCATTTCTGAACTTAAACTGTAATACCTTATTAAAATATTTTGGAAAGAATGATGATGAAGGTAGTAGTGTGGATTGTTACTGAAACAGAGCAGGATTACCTTTATATCCTTCTGCAAACAGTCAGCTGAATTACCTTTACCAGAACTTGAGTGATGCAAGTCTGACCAAGTCATGCCTGTTGATTGCTGGTGACTAACAATGAACACTAGAAAATCGCCAGTTCAGAACCAGGCATCTTTGAGGTAACTCTAGATCCAGTATCTGCTACTGGTTACTCCCTTGAGGATTTGCAGTGTTACTCAATTTAAGTTCATGTGCATTGTCTTTGTAAGTGTGCAGCTGGGTAATCTGTTTTTGTTTTTCCTCCTGTCTGTGATGTGCAGGCTTTCCGCGATTTTTCTTAATTTTGTTTTAAAAATGAAAATGTTTAAAAACTAATCAGTATGTGTTCATACTACCTCAGGTCCGCAGTATAACTTGAGATGTGACCATGAACTAATTTTTCTTTTGTTTGGGTAATGTTCTTGTCGCATGCTTGATTCTTAGTAAAAAAAATACTGTTCTGTAACAAGTTAGTTTTCTGAAGTTTGGTTCATCAAAATTGTTGCTTTATTCAGACAGATTTACAATTTGTACAAAAATTCTCCAAAATATTTGGAGAATCCTAGAGTTAGGTAAGAAAACCACTTTCAACTCAGTAGACTAAAGAAATAATTTTTATAAAATGTTGCTCTTGAACAGTATTTTAGTGCTAAAAATGTGTTTGTCTTTTCTTGATAGATTGTTAAAGCAATTTCAGGTTTGCCTTTCAAGGAAAATACAACAGTTCAGACAGACAGGTATGGTGCTGCATGTTAAATATTTTAAATGGTTATGTAATCAGATAATTAGGAGCTGTAGTATGTTTCCAGTTACTATTCTTAGGCAGCTAAAAGGGCGGAGGGTAAGAGAAGATGCGTACGCGTACTTTTGGGGAAGAACGGAATTTGAAGCTGCTGATACTTACCCAGACTACAATAAAAATAGCAGTTCTTTCCAAACGACAGCTTTACAACAGGGATGTGATGGGGAGGTATTTTTTCTGCACGTTAAGTTGCCTTATTTTATTCTTAGTATGATTTATAGTTTTCAAACTTAATGAAAAATGACTATGAATTGATTTGTGCAATGCTTTTACTATGCTGCATGTCAGTTGATGCCAATGTAATAAACCCAAGGGGAGTTTTTTAATTCAGTTTCCAACTGATGCAAAGATACATTGTTTTGCTTTTTGAAACTTTAAGAAACCTTTTTCCTGCAATCCAGTCTGATTTTCTTCTAAAGTTGAGGGACATACCAATTATCTTTGTTAAAAAAATTCCTTAGGATTATTTTCAGATACTTAAATGTTATGAAATTTGATACGAAATTTGTTTTCAAAATGGTACTTTTTGATTTCTTCTTTCATGTTTGAGGGTTTTCCTCCTTGGCTTAACTAATACATTAGAAATATTTTGCAAGTGAATTGCTTCATGACATTTTAGAAATATTCATGGTATTTATAATTTACATTTTACTTCTGCATTTATGTTGGATTTAATATTTGTATGTTTCTCAGGCTTCAGCAGTTCTTAAATTCTGATCCTCTAAAGACACACATAGTTGAAGATGACCAACAGGTATTTCAAGAGCATTAACTTTCATTTAACTTCTCTTGTGCAAATGTATTGTGTGTATGTGGAAGGTTCTGGTAGTGTTGGGGCTGCAGTGGTGATCTTTGTGGAAGGAGGTCAGGGGCTGATTCCAGCCACGTCAGCAACAAGACCCGCTGCAGGTCAAAGCTGAGCCAACCAGCAAAGTTGGTGGTGCCTCTGTGAAAACATATTTAAGAAAGGGCAAGGGAAGGGAACAAAAAAAAAGTGAGAAACAGAGGCAGTGCCAAGGTCAGAAGAGTAGGAGGTGCTCCATGCCGGAGCAGCTGTACCTGAAGGGACTACAGTTTGTGGAGGACCCGCACTGGAGCAGAGGAAAGGATTGAGAGGGAAGGAGCAACAGAGAGAAACTGCTATGTTTTGACTGCAGTCCCTGCCGTGGGCTGCTCATTGCCTCAATGGTGGGACTGAGTGTAACCTGCACTGATTGTAAGGGGAGATGAGTTTGGAGTGAAGTTAGCCTGGGAGTGGGAGAGGAGAGGTGTTTTTCTGAAGTGTGTAAATGTTTGTTTCTTTGTTTCTGTTTCCCAATAACCAAATCAGTAATCATGTACATTAATTAGCAACAAATTAAGTTAACCTAAAGTTGAGTCTGATTTGTCTGCATCAGTAATTGTTAAGTAACAACCCTGTCTCTATTTTTACCTGTGGATCTTCTTGCTCACTCTTCCTGTTTTTCTCCCCCATCCCTCTGGAAAAAGAGAGCGAGTGAGCAAGTGGCTGTGTGGGTGCTTGGCTGTGAGCCAAGGCCAACCCACCACAGCAAATTTTACTAGTCTTTTTTAATTGTATTTTGATTTTGTTGTAGCTGAGTCCTAGCTGTACACAGAACATCTAGTGCATTCTTTTGAGTGGTTTAAGACAGTTGTGTTAAGACAATCTTGATAAATCTTTCTCTAAGAAATACTAATAATGAGTATTTGTCTCACCACTGGTCTGTGTAACTTATAAGTATGTAGGACTCATATTTAAAATGTATTTACAATTTCTTCAGCTATTTTTCATCAAAATACCATTTTTGAAATACAATAAATGCTTTTGAGTCATATGTAAGCTAAAACCCTTTTACTAAGTATTGCCTTTGTCATCTATTTGTCTTATGGTTTCAGAGTTTTCAAAATCTTAGTGAAGAAAGAAACTTTGTCTTTCTTAGCAACAAAATTGAGCCATCGTCAATTCTGGAAACAGCACCACTTTTTGATGATCTGAAAAAGGTAATGCTAATGTAATATATTACACTGAATATCTTTTTAAGGCTAGTATCACACCCCAACTTTAGATACTAAATGTTTTAGTAATACCTAATTTTGATTGAGGAATGTCTAGGAGGTTGTTCATATAGTTGAATAAATGAAGCTTCAGAGAGATAGTGTAAGAATTGTACACATTTATTCTGGTATATCAACCACTGCCACAAGTCATGGGATTTGAATTTTAATACAACAATTTAACTCCTCAGCCCAGAAGAACTTTTTCATATTGTGTGTTAAGGACATTTATTGTGTAGTGGGTCAAAAGCTTTTAAATCACTCAGTGTTGTGTTCTGTCTGGTTTTGTTAGTGTTTAAATACACAGTTTTCATGTGGAACTCTTAATTTCTCTTTCTGTAGGAACTTACTCGGAAAAAATTTTTAGGCCCTAACTTCACAGAATCTTACTGTTGGCCGCCAATAGCTCGAGGATGTGATGTAGTTGCCATCTCTGATCAGGGAAATGATCCTTTCTTATATATTCCACCAGTTCTTACATTTTTGCAGTCTGGAAGTTGCTACAAAGCCTTGCCAAACAGGAATGGAGTACGTATATATTAGAGTAGTAACAGGTTTTCTGTTCTAAAGTGCAGCTGTAGAATAGTGATCTAAAATAGTGAATGTTTAGAATGTATACATTTAATGTGATCTTAGTGTATCTCCATGATGCTTGCCCTCTGCATTGAGGCTTACAGAGATGGACTGCATGAATGTGGGAGTCTAAAACTTACTTATCAAGTAATATCTAACAAGTGGTTAATGTCATATCACTTTGATACTTGATGAAGCTTTGGTTTTAAGGGGCTAGTATGTAGTCAGTAAATTAAAATTTGTATTAGCTGTTTTAAATATTGTAATTCACTTTCTAGCTCGTATTAGAGCACAGAAAGATAGAATTATCGAGGTTTTAAGGGACCTCTGGAAATTGCCTAATACAACCCCAAGTAAAACAAATGCTCCTGCTTCTGTTAAATTTTTGGACCTCTTACTGTGTGTTGCTGCATGCATCCTTTTTGTCTCCAGGCAACCTGGTGTATGATTCCTTGGGTCTGTAACATCTGCATTTAGGAGGTGATATAGTACTAAAAGCTTCAGTTTTTAAGTACTTAAAGGCCTGTGTTGCAGATTTTGGTTTTGCCCTAAATGCTGTAGTAGTACAATTCTTAAGATTCTGAACTCTTGTCTAATACTATGGTGTAAAATTTTGTACGTATGTATGTAGCCGCTAGCACTGATTTTATGTCCTGGGTGGAAGAAGGCACAACTTGTTTTTGAGCTACTGAAAACATACGAGAGATGCTCCAGACAGCTTCATCCAATGTTGATAATACTTGGGCAGAACAAAGAAGAAGCTAGAAGCGTGAAAATCCGAGGATGTAAGAATACTTTCTATCTTCTTAATTATGCTTGAAAACAATGTGGGCTATCTTAATTGCAAGAAATTGTGAAAGAAGCAATTTATACTAAAGTTTTTTTATTCTATAAAGCGATAATTCTGTTTCTTTAATGTTGTAACTCTGTAGTGATACATGAAGCTTCAGTAGTGCTATTTAACCGTAAATGGTATTAAAGCTGTTAGAATATCTACATGTTCAGCATCTTTTTTGTAAGTTCCATAACAGTTACTTCTGAGCCAAATTACTGGTAGGGATTTGCTGAAGGTCTTGCTGAATTAGGATTAATCGTACACTTTCTTGATTTAGAACCAGATTTTATAATAGCCTTTTTTGATACATGAGCACCCATTGCTCGAGAGAGGTACTGGGTCTGTCAAGAGGTGGAGTTAATTCCCTTCATAGTCTGTATGATGGTGTGTTTTGGATTTGTAACTGGAACAGGGTGGATAACGCACCAGTGTTTTGGCTCTTGCTGAGCACCACTTGCACGGCATCAAGAATTCTCTTTTTCCCAGTCTACCACCCAGTGAGTAGGCCAGGGTTGGGCAAGAAGCTGGGATGGGACACAGCCTGGACAGCTGACCCCAGTTGGCCAAAGCGATACACAATACTGCATCATGCTTAGCAATAAAAACTTGAGGGGGTGGGGATGATCTGATGAGTGGCTGGGCATCTGTCTGCTTGTGGAATGTTGTCAGTGGTTGCCTTTGCATCGCTTCCTGCCCTCCCTCCTTTGCTTATTACACTGTCTTTTTCTCAACCCATGAGTTTCCTCACTTTGGCAGTTGTTCTTCTCCCCCCCCCATCGCACTGGGGGCAGGGGGAGTGAGTAAGCATCTCTGTGCCTTTTAGCTGCTGGCCACAGTCAGCCCACCACAGTAATGCATATGTGTATGTTCTAAAAAATATTTTTAATAAATATATAAGTATTTCAGGTACATGGTTTTTAAAATTGACAAATACTTGGGGGGCATTTACTGCTTATTTACACTTAACACAATTATTCTCTACTTTTAATTTTAAAAGAATATTGGAAAAGTGAAGGATTAAAAAGGAGGTAAGAGTTATCTGCAGACAAAGTTGCATAAATGTCCAACTGAAATTTTAGTTGGAAGTAATTTTTTTTAAAATGGTGGTTTCCAACTTGCTTATTGCAATAAATTCTAAGTAATTTGTGCATACAGCTTCAGTAGTATGCAAAGGATACTCCATAGAGAAGAAGAAGCATAGAAGTAGTGTAAGAAGTAATATAGGGTGAGTTGCCCTACTTAAGTGTATTTACTGAAAACACTTAGTTTTACTATTCTTGTTTGGTCTTTTTGTTAAGCTTTAATCGATAACTGTATTTTTAAAAGTGTCTGTTTCTGCCAAGGAAACAAGAAATACAGATAAAATGATGAAGGATTGTGTAAAACTTTCAGTTTCAGCAGTTTGTATTCTTACATTCATCGTTCAAGTTTTAAGAGCCTGGTGGATGAATTCAGATCTCGTATTAGTAGAGCTGTTGGTATCTTTGCACAGATTAAGATTGGTGTGTTTTTATTTATATGTATGTACACACATATATATTCGTGCATATATATGTGTATAGATATCTAAGCTACAATGTGTGCTTTATTCCATTTTTAAAACTGAACTTTTTTAAAGGCTGCTTTTGCACATATTTAAACATTTACCTTATGTCTATCTGGTTCTGAAGTTCTTATCTCTACTTCCATTACCTTATTGGAAAACGAAATGGCATCCTGCTTTGTAAACTTGTTAACATTTAGACCTTTCACTCTTTCAAAAACTCAGAGTTTTACCCACTCAGGTCTTGAAGACATGCAGGGGTAGAAAAATACAAGCAAACTAAAAATGACTGTTGGCCAGAAGTCAGAAAATGGAGTTCAGTATTCTCTATTTAAAAAACAAAAACCAAAAAAAACCCCACAAAAAACAAAACACCAACAACCAAAAAACCACACCCAAAACCAACCAAAAAGCCCACCCCAACTTCAAGATGATGCATCTGAAATGCAAATGTGGCCTTTTTCATAAAATTACCACGTCCTGTGATGTCTTAGTGTCTTATTAATATTCTTTCAAGTTGTAAGTTAATGTTAACAGTCTGTTCTTCCTATTTGTAGGTCAAGTAATCGTGACTACACCCTATAGCCTTCTGAGACTGTTTGAACATCAGAGTTTATTATTTTGTAGACTTTGCCATCTTGTTCTTGATGAGTTTGAGGTACTGTTCTCTGATGCTACCGAACAGGTAAATGGTCTTGTTCTGTTCTATGCTACTGCTCCATTATGCTGTCTTCCTTTGCTGTGGATGGTTTCCCAAGGACTTGCATTTTTTTTCAACTTGGTAGCAGTAGTTTCAGTGTAGGGGTCTTTAATCTACTTCAAAGACTTGCATCATCTGTCTGTAGGGAAGTTCCTTTTCCCTCTTGTCAGTGCTGTTCGAACAGCTTCAGTCCAAGAATCATCTTTATTGGTAAGCTCCTCAGTCTCTGCAGAATGAAAGGCAGAAGCGAATGATCAAATATTCTTGGAAGCAATCGTACAAACTTTCCTTGGGCCTTAATGATAGTGCAGGCAAAAGGAGAAGCTGATCCTAACTCCGAGAATCTTGGAAGAGGAACAGCATTAACTTCCATGTTGACAAGGATGAATGTATTGCATCAGTTCTAAAATGATGACTTATAATTCAAGTTTGAGAAAATTCTCGTTTTTTTTTTTTTATTGCTGCTTTGATGCTTCAAAGGACAGATGCTTTGTGGTAGTATTACAGCATATTACATCATCAGTATGCAAAAACCAGTTTACACACCTTTTCAATGTCATAGATTATTTTTTTTTTAAATCATTAACTTATTAATGTTACCTGTTTAAAATTTGGTGATAAGGCTAAAGGGCTGTGTTTCTAACCATGAAAAGCCAGAGAAACTTCTTAATGGAGAGAGATTGCCCAATTTGCTACTATACGTGAAGCTGTTAAATGTGCCTTTGTAGCAGCAAATCTCAAGTCGTAAATTAGATGAAATGTCGTACTTATCTAGTAGGATACTTATCCAGTGGGACATTCCTTTTTTCTGTTCAGGCTGTTCCTTCTCTTTTGTTCCTGTACTTCATGAGGCAGAGTGCAGGTATACCATTTGAAGATTGTGGGAAAGGTAGTTTGTAAAATACTGTGCATGTATCTGCCATTTTTGTAGGATCTTCTAAGCTTCTCAAAAGCATTAGTCTTGAATAGAAAAAAGAAGAGATGTTGTTTCAGATGGAAGTGATCATTTGATAATGGTTGGACTATTATAGCTCTTATAAAGCATTATATTGCAGAAATGTTTTATTTTTAAAAATACTGCTGCTATGGTTAAGTTTAGTGTCAGGTTGAGAGAGATCTCTTAGAATTGTGCCAGACCCCTAAAATACTTCTTAGTATGTTGTGCTTTGCAAGAAATCCTGATGTTGTTCGGCAGCTGGACTGCTTGTCACTTATGTAAGGTGATGTCATGAGGAATATATTTATTCTGTCTTAGTGTTTTTTATTTTTTATGAATGATTTTATGGCACACCCTTTTTTTTTTTTTTTTTTTTTTTTTTTTGGCAAATTACTGTATTGGCAGGTTAAGCTTATCTTCTACTTGCCTCCTAGTTTTTGCTGACTGCTTCTGACCTCTCTATCTACTTTTGCCCAGGCTTAGTATTTTTCAAATTTGAACAGATCATTTTCCTGAGATTTCCATCTTCTCTGGGCAGAATCCTGCGTTACGGTCCTGTGCGCGTGCATATGCTGTTCCTTCATGCTGTCCTGTCACTTTCTTCTTGCTTCAGAAGTTTTTCAAATAATAGGGTAAAAGTGCACAAACCAAACACTTTGTTTTGGGATGTGAAATTTATGTTTTGCTGTGGTGGTGTTTTTGTGACTGGAAAAACCAGTGTGCTGAAACAGTGTACTTTTCACTGCTGTTACATACTCATTGGAATAGGATAAGAGGATAGAAAAAACGTCTTTTTTTTTTTCTTCATAGGTTTTTGCTATATTAGATTGTTACAAGAAAGCCAATATTACTGAAGAGTGGGAATATTCACCACATCAGATTATTGCTGTAGGAACTCATTGGAATAAACATATAGCACACTTGATAAAGGAGTTCATGAATGATCCTTACATTGTGATAACAACCATGGAAGAAGCTTCCATCTATGGAAATGTGCAACAGGTAAAAATTTGGGGATGATGTCGCTATTTCTTTACTAAGATATTTTTCTGTTTGTACTGATCAAGGTCAGTATATGTGGCTGCTGATTGTTTAAGTGGGTAGTGCTACAATCCTAACTCAGACTGTTCAGGTGTACCTCCCATGTATGAACTGAGGCGACTCTTAGAAGACCTGTGCAAGTTAATCACTGAACGAGCTGAAGGTCTTTCACCTTGCTTTGTAGGACTGAGGTGAAGATATTCCCTCGAGTATTTCATTGTTAGTGCAAATGAATCTGAATTTTATGTGAAGTATTTGCAAATGGTAAGTTTGTGACCAGAATTTTATCAGGGTGTTTTTGCAATTGTTAATTGCGAGTAGCAGAACTACAGGGTAAGTTATCCCAAGACAGAACTAGTAAAATACTTGTTCTACTGCTGTACACCACACAATACAGAACTTAATTTGACCTAAAATTTCCAGAAAGTTACTCCTTTAATTTCCAGTCAATGTGGTGTAGCCCTTAAAAATAATACAAAATGTTGTAAGTATGATCTGAATTCTGCTATGTCTCAAAATGTAATAATTCGGGGATTGAGAATGTTGGGAAATCTCTAAGACTAGACATTCTGAACATGACATGAAACTGAAAAAAAAACCACTTTTTGTGAGAAGTCTAATTAATGGTTTGGCAGGACTGAAAATGTTTTGATGCTTTAGTTATTAAGAGTATTTCAGGTGGTGCAGTATGCTTTTTGGAGTGTGAAGCTTTTTTAGTGGTACTTGAAAATGCCAAACTTAAAGATTGATAAATCACCTAAAAGTAAATGAATGAAAAATCTTAATGTGGGATTTTGATTATGTGTTGGATTTTAATTATGCTTCTGGAAGCTGTCCTAAATGCGTACCTTTTGTGAGAGTTCTATCTTCTGCAAGTTTAACAGAAGACCTACCACTTACCGGAGCTACCATTTACTGGATTCTCTTTGGTATTATATAACAATGTTTACTGCTTATTAAAAGGAAGAATTAAATGGTAAAATATGTATAGATTACATAAATTATCAGCCCTCTGCTTTGTATCTACTTCTAGGTCGTGCGACCTTGCACAAACAGCGAGAGAACTGCTGTGTTACTCAAAGTACTGGATTTTACCCACAATCATCTTCAGAAGGTGCTGGTATTCACTAATTCAGTAAATGAAGCAGAAATGGTTCATAAGGTAAGAAGGTATTTAAATTTACATAGATAAGTGCTTTTTTTAATTGTTAGGGTATGACAAACTAAAATATCTTGGCTTCTGAGAATGAAGGAGGAGTGTGAATTTGGAAGTTAATTACTTTTGCTAAAAATAGCCCCAGCCCCACTTTTCTGCCAACTAGAAGAAAGCCTAACTGACGGAATGTCTGGCATAGAATGCATTCATTACTGAATTCTTAACTATGTTCTGTCTGTCAGGTTGGAACTTTGAGTTGAATCAAACCGGCTTTTTTCCAGTAAAAGTTCTGTCAATTTTTTTAATTTTTTTTTTTTTTACTGTTTCCAGGAGTGATACAGGGGGAGAAAACTTAAGCCACCGTGTTAAGAAGTTCTATTCTGTTGCTTTCTACTCTGGAGTAGTTGAAATTGTAGAAGGCTGTTTCTGATTTGAAAGAAACATTTTCTGTCATCCTGTGAAAGTCTACCAGAATTTAATTAAGCTTCAAGTCATAAGGCATGGGGGGGAAGTGAACATGTTTAATACGTATTTTCTTTAAAACTGGCATAAAACTGCTTCAAAATTATCTGCAATAGAACACGCTCCAGTTTTCCACCTTTTTTGTGGGATTGTATACTCAGCATTTCAGAGGTGGAGACTAAGGAGTTTCCCTGCAGTAGTTCTTTCTTCAGATATTATAGCAATGAATATATATAACGACATAGCAATAGAAAAATGTCATCTGTACTTTTGTTGTCTCTTTGCTGGTCCTCCAACAGCGCGAAGTAAGAGGAGTGCAATCTGATTTGACTTGGAAGTAAGAGATGGGGAACAGTTCTGTTAAGCCTGGATAGGGTGATGCGGATGATGGGGATGACATTGCTAAAGGAGACAAGCTATGAGGATATCAGAATTAAAACCTTTAGTGATAGCTTCAAGGATGGGATAACAAAAGGATGTGTGGCTGGATTGTTCATAGGAAGAGATACGTCAGTCCTGAAACATGGGAATGTATTCCCTTCCAGAAGCCAGAATAGATCCTGTGGTATTTAAAGGATTCTTCTTACGTAAATGTTAGTGTATCTGGAATGTTTAATCTTTGATGATTGTTAATGGAAGCAAATCTGGTTTTGTCTCGTGACTTTCTAACACATTTTCCTTGAATATTTGAGAGTTAATTTCTTCAAGCATATCAAAACCAACCCCACCACCACTTAAAAGAAGAGTGTTTATTGATGCTAAAGAAGTATTGAAGCTGTTTGTAGCAATCCTTGTGTACACCAACTTCAAATGTCTTAAGTGTCTACAAAAATATTTTAAGTGTTAACCTAGTTCATTGGACATGCCAGTTTACCAAATAACCAAGGTTTTTGTAGTGATTAATACGTGAACCTTGAACTTGACAAATACATAAAGCCTTTTGAGAATACTGCATTCATGCAAGTTAAGTATGGGTAGATCAGTGAGGGGGTTTTAGGGCCTTTTCTGAGAGACTGAAACTTGAGCCTGCATGTTGTTAGATAATAGAATCGACTTAGAATAGAGAGGACACCTTAATGGTGGGAAAAGCTTCAAATGGAATTTGTACTTTCTTAAACATCTGTTTTATGTATTAATCCATTGGAACCTGAGCTTTATTAGTTTTTTTTAACAGGAAATTAATAAGCTTAATATCCATACTCTCAATTTTCTTTTTTTTTTTCATTAACTCTTTTCCTTGGCTCTCTTTCCAGTAGCTAGGTATGCTAGATACTAGTAAGATATACTATTTATTAGAGTTTATTAGAGCAGTTATTGCTGTATTGGAAGAATATATAACTTTTCACTTTGTCATCCAGGCATTGAAGAGCAATTCAATATTTTCCTTGCAAATACATAAAGAGAGCGAGTTTAATTTCAAATATATCTTAGAGCAGTGGACAAAAAAGTATAGTTCTGGCACGCCTGTTGTGTTAGGTGAGTATTTTCTTTTTGTCTAGTTGTGATTATATCTTCATGGTGACTCATGTTCTACACTAAATATTTATACTAGGTTATCTCATCACTTCACAGGGTCAGTTCCCTGTGAATTCTTTCTAGTTAACCCTTTACTTATTAGTGCTACAGCTAGTCTTTTTGCTTTTTTTTTTTTTGTGGTGGTGGGGTGTTCATGGATCCCAGAGTTAACTTCTGCAAGGGAAAACCTTACTTATTAGAGGGAACATAAAGGAGTTTGGGTTTTGGGTTTCTTTATGCATTAGTTAAAAGAACTACTAGTACTTTCAGAGAATTTCCATGATTTCACAATTGTCTCCTACTACAGAGGATATTTTCAGTTTGAAATAATTTAGAAACTCTGAAGACTTACTGTAATAATTTCCCATATGTTCTGGTAGAATTTTATTTTTCAAGTTGTTTGCAGACTCCTACCCAGTTTCAAACTTAATTTTTTCCATTTTCTATGTCAAAAGTAAGAAGATTGATGTAATTACATCTGCTTTGTAGGTTCATACAAAGGAGTTAGCGTTCCTGCATTACTTCAAGTGTTTTCTATCTTAGTCTTGTAAAGTACTTGGCTGTGGGCAATTCTGTTTATTCTGTAATACTGATATGAGATACAGAGTTACACTAGATTATTAGAGACTAACATGAAATGCTGTTTCTGCCGTATTCTTAGGAAGTATATTGACTTGAAATATAATGCCTTATGTAAGTGTATTGGGAAAAGACCTTTTTCTTCATTCTTAAGTCAGTGGATGGGGAGAAGGAAACAGGCATTGCTAATACGATGTAATACTTCACATGCCTGAAGTATTAGAGTTATCTTATATGTGTGTATAAAACATGTGCTTAGTTTTAACAGATGACTGTATGCAGTCTTTGGGAATTACAGATGCAACTTGCGTGATACATTTCAGTTTTCCTTCTCCAAGAATCTTTGGACAGCGTCTACACAGCATGTCTGACAACTTCTGTAATGTGATAAAGGTTTGAGTAAATCTTTAGCAGGTTAATACTATGTTTGATTATTAAGTGGTGGATACATAAAAGCTTTTAAAAAAAAAAAAATTTTTTTTTTTAGGGTTCTTCTGTAGATAAGGAATATACAAAGGCAAGGTCAGTTATTCTGCTAACAGAAAACAGTGCATGTCATGCACTTGGGATCCTGCGCTATTTGCAGCACGCAGAAGCTGAAATTCCACCAGAACTGCATGATTTTACTTCCAAGACGCTAGAAGCTGAAGAAGATAAGAAATTTTCAAGGCCACTGTGTGCCTATCTTAAAACATTTGGGATTTGCAAGTAAGGAAATACCAAGTTTTCTTGACACCCATACTGATGCAGGAAGGCATTCAGTGTCCTGAATGATGACTGCTTCTGCTTCCTTGATGAATTTTCCTGTTGGATACTTTTATTCAAATCAGGTTTTGCTCGTGATTCCCCCCCCCCACCCTGTTCAGTGTTGCATCTGTTTCACTCTTCTTAGGTACTTTTATGAAAAAAATATTAACATTTTCATGGAGACCAATCATACCTAGTCTGACATAGTAGCATAACTACAACTCCTGCCTAGATGTACTTTAGGGAACTTTAAGCCATTGTTTTGATTAGTATTCTAACCATAATTGCACAAGGTTTATGCTGTGCTTTACTCTCTCCCCTGTCGTTTCCTGTCCCTCCAGAGTGGGTAAGTAGATGATGACTTCTGAGCTGCGTGTAACTGGATTGTAAGTAGTACCTGAAGGAGGAAGCTAAAGTGTTCTCAAGTATGACTTCTAGTGTAGATCACTGTTGTTGCAAGTAACAAAAAATTCAATGTTAGTGTTTGGTTTACTCTGAAACAAGTTTTCTGGTGTTTTTTGTTTTGTTGTACAAACTCTTCCACCAAGAGCTTTTTGGTCATTTCTGTCTAACCCCCAGAGTCATTGATGCTCTTTGAGACAAATTGAATATTGAGGGCTGATGAAATTTTAGTGTTTAAAGCTGTTGTAAGTCACATCAAAATAGTTTACAACTGAAAACAAAGGTCTTTTTTCTAAAACCGTTTTCTTAATTACATAGGAACAGAACAGTGTGTCCAGATCGTCATCAAATTAATTTACAAATAGACGTGCCCCAGAATGTACTAGATAAAATTATACGAACGCCTGGATGTGTGACAGTAAGTTGTTATTATTTACCTTGGTTTTGGGTACCAAGAAGAGGGGTCTTAATAGCTACTTAGCATGTTACTTATATTTTCGTATTACATTAATATTACTGTAGCATGTATACTGTACCTCTTGGATATTTGTTATTTTTTAGCTTTTTCTTCTCTCCCTTGCATGAATAAATGTGCCAGATTTTCCCTTAATCCTTAGCTTGAATTGAAATTGTTTTGCAGGTGATTCTGAGTTTACATCAGATTTTCTTCTGCATTGAAGATTCCCATTCTATGGGAAGAGGGCTTATGTTCTGTTTATTCCTTCCCTCTTAAATTGAAACCATATACCGAAATTAACAAAGGTTAAAGTTCCTATAAACTTCAATTATATCTATTGTAGAGGAAACACAAATTAATCTTTTGGAGTGAAGAGAAGTTGAAGTGGAAGATGGTGCATGTTTTGTCGGAAGTGAGGATTTTTTTCTTAGCTGACACGTTCATGCAAACTTGCTGAAAAATGAGCATATTCTGGCCTTGTCATTTTAAACTAGTATTTTCATTTGCAGTATTCACAGAAAATGGGATAGAGCTCACCCTTATCTTCTAGATGTAACAGTTATTTCCTACTAAGATGTAAATGCTTTTTGAAAACTGTTTTGATAGAGAGTGCTGTTCTAATTGGACTTTCTGTTTTTTAATAGTTTCACAGTCATGAAACCTTCATGCTTACTGGGTTCACTTCACTATGGTGGTTCTTCACATCCTAGTAACAGTTTGTATCTTCAGCTCCCTTCACCTGGCTTTTCAGTCCCTTCTATACTGGAGTGCCTTCCCATACAGCAGTACAGTACATCGTCTCCTTGTTGGACAATGATTGCTGAGGGCAAGTGTGTAGACAATGGTGCTTCCTTCTGAAGTTAGCACTTGGATCTAAGAAGTGCTGAATGCCTTCTGTTTGGATGAGCTGCTTTCACCTTCTTCCTGTCCTGTCTTTTCCAGAACTCAGGTGGCTTCAGGTCGTGCAGTTAGTGAGTGTTATCCATTCCCAAAAGTCATAGATTGTGAGAATAGAAGATAAGGAGAACTGGGTGGATTCTTTCGTGTCACTCCATTTCTGCCTAATAAATAACCTTGGTTGGTAGGTGTGAGTTCAGACCATTTGACATCCTACATGTATCTGGTTTTAGCGTCGGATGGATTTGTGTTTAGTGGTCAGATTTCATGACGCTCCTATTAGAAACTTGCACTTACCTGTGGTGCACTCAAGACAGCAGTTGTGGCCTCTTCCATTTCCTCATCTACTTCTCCTTCTCCTGACTGCTGAGCCTGGGTGCCTGTCTTACAGATCAGTTATCACTTTGATAAGTATTCACTTTCTTTTTTGTTTGGAACCCAGTGTAATGTTTCCTTCCTTTAAGAACCTCAAGTTGCATTGTGCATTTCTGGGATTTTTATTAAGTGGAAATTACCTCTCCTGGTCCTCTTACTATCCTATCTGGCCTCTTACACCCAGCGGTATCTCAGTACTTCTGCCTGGCATGACCCTTTGGACAGAATGCACCCAGCATTTTGTGCACTGGTGTTGATAGTATAGTCATAGCTTTTCATTTAAGTAATTTTAGTGCAAAAAGAGTGAAGGCCTCATGCTTCCCCGGTCAGTTCTAAAACCCACTGTAAGGTTGGAGAACACTTAGAATTAAGTTTCAATGGTGTGGAATGCCTTAGGGGTTAGTAGCTTGGCAGGTAACAGTATAGTTCACTGCTGTTGATTTAAGTGAAATACCACCAACTGAGACCTAACAGTTCTTGCTCTGTAAATTTCTGTACACTGTTGACTGGACTATGGGCAATTATTATTATTCATAAGATTATGAATAATATAATAATAACTCATAATTTTCTGAAATGTGTGTATGGAGCAGCATCTCTGCCACCTCTTTGGGCTGGAAAGAGGTAGGTGATCTTGAATATGAAAACTTACATTGCATTAATTTAAGAAATCATCCAGTCCTCCTTTTTTCTAATGTATTTTACACTTTCAGATACTGCCTCTCCACATTGTAAACGCAACAAACTACTTCGGTCGAATAGTAGATAAACAAAAGGACCAATATACAATTCTTGCTGAAGAAATTAATGAGTATTTTAAGGAACCTAGTAATAAAATTTCTGTTAAAAACGTGGAGAAGCTAGCATTTTATGGATTATGTGAGAAAACACTTTTTCACAGGTAAAAATGTGTTTTTAAACTATTCATGTGCACTTTTTTTCTACAAAGTAATTTAAAACTTTTACTGTTTAGTTAAAAAAAGTCAACCCACCTCCAAAACCAGCAAAAAATCACTGCTATTCAAATAATTCTTTAAAAAGCTATCACATAACTCTTAAGTTACCGAAAGGAAAACAGAATGACTACCCACACACACACATACAGTTAGGTAATTTGCTATGAAAATACCATTTTTTTTTAAACAAGAGTAGATTAAAAATTTTTTTACAACTGCTTATATGAATAATAATTCTGTGTTTCCTCTCCTACTGTATGAAGGGTTCAGGTGATAGAGATTTCCCCAAAAGAGGAGGAAAAATTGTTCCTTAACGTCAAAATTAAATATATAGATGAAGGCAGAACAAGTCAAGTTAAGAGCTATCAGCTGCTTCACTTACCTGCAAGGTTTCAGTGTCTGCCACCTCAGGCTGTGGAATTTGTAGTTTGTAGAGTGAAACCCATTGATAATGAAATTGAATGGAACCCAAAGGTAATATCTATCAGGTTTTTCATGGATTTCCTTTAAGTTCTTTAATTTCTCTCTCTGTTATTTTCTACAAGAAAATAGTTACGAACTGCAAATTCAGTTACTAAATTTAATTGCTTATTAGTATTACCAATAAAAATCTGCTATTGGGCCAGAGTCTTAAGAAGTCAGCTTTCTTGTTTGTTTTCCTACAAAATAATAAAGTGAAATTTATGGGATTTTCTTCTCTATAATTTAAATGGCTTCTTCTAGAAAAAGTTATTGCTGCTTTTGAATCTGTGGGGAGTAACAGGGGAAGGGCAGCCTCTGTAAATTGACCTGTGTTTGAGTATTCTTCCATTAAGGAAGCTCCTTTCTTAAAGGCTAATACTGTTTTAACCTACGGTAAAGTTGGAATATTTCACTAGTTTACTCAAAACTGGTTTTATTTATTGAATATCCTTTTCATTGTTAAGCTCAGAAGATTGTTTCATTATAATTAAAATAACTGTGAAGTTACGTTGGTTTACATCTCAAGTGCAGTGAAAATTTGTTTTTCCTAGGTAACTCATTATATTCATCACAAAATTAAAGGAAAACTACATGAAGCAAAAATAGTATATACCTTGGGAAATACAGCTTGGGTTGACCCAATGGTAGGTGTAGAATTGTAGCATTACAAAATATTTTTATCTAAACTCCTTCATAATAAGAGCACCCATTCTTCTCTTTCCTTCTGTCCGTTCCTATTTTAATTTTATTCTAAGTGGTATTCACATAATACTGTTGGTTAATTTACTGTGATGGTGTCTAAGCACTGGAACAGGTTGCTCAGAGGTTGTAGAGTCTCCATCCTTGGAGATACTCAGAAGCAATCAGGACATGGTCCTGGGCAGCTGACTCTAGGTGACCCTGCTTGAGCAAGGGGGTTGGACAAGATGACCTCCAGAAGTCCCTTCCAACCTCAGCCATTTTGTAATAAATATGTATGCTTGTATATAGATCGAATGCATGACTGAGTAAAACTTGAACTTTAAATCTGGAGAGCTGAATGTGCACCAGTAACAAAGCACCAAATTAATTATAAATGTCATCCAGACTATTCCACAACGTTCATTTTAAAAGTATATTTTGGAAGTACTGGTTTTTAGGGTTTTGTCTTGTAAAATCAGTTCTGTAGTTCATCACACATTCCTCTGAAAGAATGAAACTTTGATCCTCCAAGACTGTTTGCTGGTATCTAAGACCTCTTATACTAGACCTAATTTATTCTGTTTGTATTTCTAAGTCTTTGCTGTCTTTTATAGATCTTGCACTAGTTTAGAGTTAATTTTATTCTGAGTTTTTCTGCAAATTAAAAAACACTTTTAGGTGCTTTTCCTTAGTTTTCTTGATCAGAGTAGGGTGCTCTTGTTCTTGAATTTTTTTATAAGTTTACTTACACTAGACATCTAGAAGACTTCTTGGTCTTGCAGAGTGTTAATGCATAGTGTTGCGAGTTTTTCTTCATAAACTGAATTTCTTTCTGTCAGCATTCAAAAGAGGACGTGTCACCATCAGTTGGATATAAAGGGTGTCTGACCTTTCAGATACTAAGTTGTTGGGTTTTAGTTTTTGGTTTTGTTTTTTAATATCTTCTCATTGCCATAATCTCAGACATGATGCAAGTGCTTTAATTTACTGGTTCTCTCAGAGTTGACTTGTTAGGTTTTCCTAAAATTAAAATTTTATGGTCAGTGCCATGTTTGTATTGTTCTTCTGTCAGTTCCCTGGCCCATAAGAAAGGCAGTACTGGCCCGGACCAAGTATTCCTGTTGGTAGAGCTGACTGGAAGGTGATAGCTAGGGAAAAGTTAGAGAGCATGTCATCCATGTGATGATGTTTCCTCTGAGTATTCTCCTATTCTCCCAAAACTTTGCAGATAGGAGATTGCCTTAGGGCTGTGTTTTATTTGAAAGGCATTTTTTTTGAAAGGCGGGAATCTATTCTGACAGTTACATCAAAGGACAAAAGAATCAGGTGGCTTTTAAGCCTTTACTAATGGCATGAACAAGCTAGTTGCATTTTTGATGTCTGTTAAGAAATAACCTCATTTTATGAGCAAGGAGTTCTGTGAAGAATCGTTATCAAAGGTAGCTCACAACTTGAGGGAATTTTTTCTTTTTTTATGGTCTGGACAAGTTCATCAGAAGGGCTTCCCTATATCTCAGGATCGTGATGTGCCTCTTGAGGCTGCTTGGTCCTGCCAAAGAGTACAGTAAGTTACTCCTGTGCTTTGGAATGTATCATGCTATGTTTTCTATCCAGCCATTCAGTCAGCTGAAAAACAAAGTGGAAAGAGAAAATGATCTGGAAGTAGTTCTCCCTTAGTAGCTTCCTTTCCCATATGGCATGTACCAACCTTTCTCCAATTTCTATGCTTTTGTTTTCGTTTAGGGTTTTTCTTACTATGCTCCCCCTAGCAGTTTTATTGTTGTTTGGGTCTAGAAGTTATTCTAACTGTGGTGTGTATTTTGGCTGTAATTTGTGTAATCAAGGCTGGGATTATTTACTTTATTACCATCTTGGTTCTGTTGGATGGGACTAGCTACTAGTTACTTGAGCCATAATCACAATGAAAAAGATGGTGATGCTCTGAAAACAATTAAACATGGGTAGGTTCTCGTTTGAAAATCAGAGAAAACAAGTTGCTTACAGGTATAAATAAATGGGGATATGTTTGGATTTTTACCTAAAGAACAGCCTAGAATTGAGGAGAGACCATTTATGAACTATGGTTTCCATTTAGTATGTTTTGTAATTCAAGGTCCAGGTTACCAGGCTTTCAGATTTGAAGATGTCTGTCAATGAATACAACGTTCGATCTGAGATTCTGTCTACGGGTCTGGGAACTGACAATCCAGAACATGTAACACAACTTCAGAAGTTGTGCAGACACATGAAGGTATTAAATCATGCAAAGAACTTGGAGGCTTTGTAAGTGTTTACAAATTTTTTTCAGCATATACTTTACTAGGAAAAAATTCCATTATTTGATTTTAACTGGATGTTTTCATGATTAATATTACTGAATATGATTTTCATTTAAACACAGAGACAGTAGTGTTTGTGATATGTCTGCTTTCCTTTTAACTATTCTTTAGCCACATAAACATCATGGAAAGAAAAATATCAATTCTAGAAAATGTTAAACTAGTATTTGATGCAGATAGTCAAGTTTATGTTAAAAATATGGAGTCCTGAATTCAAATTCTGTTTGAATTTGAATTGAATAAAATTTCTTTTATTATGGTCAGTGGCTTTTTTGAATGCTTACCAGTCAGTAAATAGTATCAGTCAGTACAGTAGAGCATATTGTTGGTGTTTGTACAACTGCAGAGTTCAAGCTGGAAAATTTAGACAGTTTACTTTAGAAGGATTAGGGCCATACATTTAATGCGTATGGCTACGTGATGGGTTTTGCAGTAACAGCACTGTATGGTGTTTTTTCCTTGCCTTGTAAACTTTTACAATTGAGGGGTGGTAAACTTTGATAAACTGAGTGGTGGTAAACGCCTACAACTGTGTATGGTGGAAGGGCACATCTCGCTGCGGTCTGTGCCGGATTCTAGGACCCTTGATTTAAAATGCTTATGAGCAAGACATCTGTACCTTTTTTGTTCTGGCCTCTGTGTGGCACCTTGTTCAGGAGTTTGTTTAGCCACTTATTCTTCAGTTGGGAGAGCCATCATTGAAAAGATAATTTAAATGCTTTCGTCTGACCAACCAAGTTTTTTTTAATATTTACAAGGAAGAGAGAAATCTTAAATATTTTCTTTCAGGGAGCAAATATTGCTTCATAAACAAAAAAGTCCCTGAAATACCAACATGGGCACTGCATGTGTTATCTCAGGGTTGGGCAAGTTAATTAAGGCTGTTGTTTCTCTGACTTAGCCAGTCAACAAGATGAGGAAGCCTAACCCCCTCCAAAGTCCATTTCCATCTTAGATTGAGGTTCCTGCATTTCTACCTAGATCTGTATCAGAGTTTAATCTTAACCAAAGGATTTGTTTTTCCCATATTTTGTATAACCTTAAAAATCAGTATTTGAGAACAGCATTTGCACTGTTGATGCCTGGAAGGCTTTTCTTCTGGTTTTATTCGTCACAGAGGACTCTCGGGCTGTGAGGTTTCTGCTACCTCGAGCACAGCCTTTTTGAATGTATTTCTTGTTTCATGCTGTTACTGAACAGGAAGGTTGGTAACCTCCTAATGGTCACCAAAGCATGTAATGCCAGAAACCAGACGACTTTATCGTGGTGCTGTGTGCAACAGTTCCATCTCAAATATCTGTAATGCAGCTGCTTGGATTACTTTTTGCAGATTAACTAAGCCTGATACTACTGTTGAAACATTCAGAACTGACTGCAGTCTTTTTTAGTAAGGTACTAGTTAAATAAAGGAGAGTCAAAGAGCTCCTGTAAGGTGAAGTTGACTGAGTAACTTCATTTGTGTTTTTTGCAGGAGTATCTTCTCCCTGTTGTGCAATATGCAGAGTTACATGCTGGTTATGCAGATTTCAGATGCTTCATTGCAGATTTAAATTTTATAAAAGAAATTTATACTTCTTAGTATGTGGCAGATCAGTTTGCCTCCCTTTAATCTGTGCTAGTTCGTCAAGCATTCTGTATTAATCTGTTTTTTGTTTAGGATTTGTGTGTGCAATGTGGTAGTCTCTTACCTATTGTCCTTCATGGCTATGAGTATGGCTCATTACTTAACAGGTACCCATAATACTTACATCATCCTACTTTTCTCTGGTCATGATAATTGCATCAGAGAATGCTTCTGCCCAGTGAAAGATTTTTAGAAAATAACACAAAGATAAAGGCTACTTTCCATGCTATTTTGAAAACAGTCATTTTTCTCTGAAGTACTTGGCGAATTGCCTACTCTTGCCTGACAGCAGCAGCCCAAACCACCTCCCATTAGTGCATCAAGCAGCACTCAGTATAGCGGGTAAGTTTTCTGTTCTTTTGCCTCAGCCATTCACTTCAATTATATGTCCTTGCTATAGAGTGCTAGTCTTCTTGTGATTGTTCATCAATCTCCTTCTTTAAGTTCAAAAGCCAGCAAGATTCTTTAGTTAATTAAATGCTCGTGGTTTGTCAAGTGCAGTGCAAGGATCTTACTACCTCTGTGAGCAGAATGCAAGTGGTGTTCTACTCCTCCCACAGATATTAACAGTCTTCTAAACCAGTGGACCTTAGTGTATATAGGCTGTACAGCCTTTCAGGCAAGCTTGGCATAGCTAGAATTTTGTATGTTGTAAACAGCACTTGTCAGCAAGATCAAGTTCAATCTTAATTGCCTTAAGAAACATTTTTGTCCTGGAAAGAAAAAGGCTCAAATCTTTATCTCCAGGATGACTTGGTCTATACCATATAAGCAGTATCCTTGCTTTCGGATAATCCATCAGTTATGAATAAAGTCACTCTGTCTCTGGGCCTTCTCTCCACACCCTTTTTGATGATAATGGAGGAGGTCATGGCCCACCTCTAATGCATAGGCATCTATCTTTTTTACTACCTTGTTGACTGTTCAATAAATGCCCAATCAAAGCACTAGGTGTTTCAGTCTCTTTACGTGATCTTTGGATATCTTCCCATGAAGACTTGGCAAGTACTCCAGTCATTCTGGATTAATGGTGTTCGAGAAACACAGGCTGTCCTTCGTTGCAAGTGTTTCCACAGTTGGAGAGGTACTATGCATAGGCTGAAAAGTGGGGTTCTTTGCAGGAGTTGTTCCTTGTTGCAGAATATGCAGTTACATGTTGGTTGTGTTGATTTCGGGTGCTTCATTGCAGACTTCGTATACAAAGCTTTTGTCTAACTTCATACTCTTATTTGCCCAGTTTTCAGCCCCCTACCTTTCAAGTCCTTCTTCAGCTTGTGAGTCACTATCTTGCTTGGTGGCTGGTTTTAGGGTTTCTGTGTGGCGCGTGAATAATTAAACGTTTTTGTAGAACCTTGGTTGCTTTAAGGTAAGATTAGATTCTCTTAGACTTCGGCTTTCCAAAGCTATTCAGTAAATCATAGGAGACTTGACTTTTAAAAAAGTGTTTGATTCCTTTAAGTCCATAACTCAGAAATCGTTTCTAAAAAATACTGTTAAATTGAACTTGCTGTGCTGTATTTTACCTAGCCTCAAAGAATTGTTTAGTTGGAATTATTTGGAAAAGATGATACACATTTTTTAAAGGTTTAATCTTACTAGTTTACCTTCAAAGTAATTAAGGTAAGCTGTGTCAGTTCTGAATAAAGATGGCTGCATAGGTATTTAATACTAAATCTTCAATATGGATTAATTTAAAAGTTAGTGTTTACTTATGCAGTGTGAAGCATTATATGATGGCTTACTAGACTCGATTCAGTCCTTTTATGCCACTAGGTGTTTGGAGGTAATGGAAGAAAGTGTTTTTTATTTGGACAGATGACTCAGTGTTTCAAAAATTATGCAGTGCTGTGTTCTTCTCAATAATGTTTTGACGGAGACTTCCTAGGCTGTTGCAGAACAGAGGGTCGTGGTGCCTATCTCTAAGCTCTCAAGTAGATTGACTCTGTTGTGATGTTTCCTGAATCTTGAGTCCAGCTAGTGAGCCCCTAACTGTACAGCTGGAAAGCCAAGGCTCTCTTACTAATAAGTGAAGAACTTTGAGTATTCTGAAATTTTTACTTTTTCCAAGTCAGAGTGAAATATGACCAAAAAGCCCACAAACCTACTGAATTCTTTATGAAAGGGAATAATTTTCTTATCTAGGTCTGTCACACACAATAAGGCAATAGCTTTTTATAATCTTCTTTTTATAAGAGGAAATGCTGGTACCATCAGAATTTTAAATGTTCTCCTAACTTGGATTTCTGCATAAATGCTTCTTATTGAGTTACTAAGTTCAGTGACCCTATAGTGAAATTTATGGTTTGCTAGAAGTGCATTTTAGTGTATTTTTTTATACATTAGAATGAAAAACTTAACTTCAAAAGGATTTCCAACTATGATTAGGAATCCTTTAAATATTAAGCATATTTGAACCATTTCTTTTAAAAATGCCTTTTTCTCCGTTCAGAAGCAAAAAGGAAGATACAGCTGGTCCGGAGAATGCATCCGATCCACAGAATATGTCAATACAAGAAAATTCTACTGAAACCTGTAATTCTTCTAACATGACTTTTGGGAATCATCCATGTGGTAAACCTTTTTCATAATTTCCAAAAATTTTAAAACTTCAATTAGATGTCAACCTAGAAGTCATTTTACCACATGCAGACTTCTCTGAGTATACAGAATAGCAACCATATAGCTAATATTTACAATAAGCCACAAATACTTTCGTTAGCAGCCTGGAGATGCTGTGAGAGTAAGAGATATTATTATGTCTGTATTACTGTTTGGGAAATATTCTGTCCTTGAGACACTCAGAATTGTTTAGCTCTGAATACAATGTGTGAGCAGGAAATCTCTCCTGTAGAGAGGACAAGCATTTTGCTGTCAAAGGCCTTAGGATTTAAGGAAGTTGAAATCTGCTGAAAGATGAGGCAAATGACAGCATTGTTCTCTGGGAGGCTTTTTTTTTTTTTTCTGAGATTCAGGATGGTAGAAAATGGCTGCTTTTTTTTTCTTCCTTTTTAATCTAATGCTCAAGGATGTGGTATTCAGTCAATAGAGGCTTAAAAACACGTGGCTTTGTCACTCATAGAAGGGGGACAGAGGATGATCTGGCAGCAGTTGGCACTTGAGTTTGGAGTAATAAAAGCTGAGTGATTAAAAAGTTGCAGCAGACAAAAGTCAGATAAGATCCTGGAGTGCTTATCATAGAAGGCTTTTTTCCCTGGTATAGTAGATTGACTGTAATGCCATGCTTCAAGTTGTGATGGTAACATCAATATTAGTTGTTTTCATCCCTGAAACTCATAGTCAGTTACCTAAAATGACATGTTTCAGGTTTCAAATAATGTATTGAAACTGGAAAAACCTTTACCTGACCTGGAAAACAGCATTTTTGGTGGTTTTAATTTTTTTTTATACCAACTCTTTTTAGTTAAAGTCTTCAGTTGAATTATTAACTTCATGAAATCTTTCCAAATAGGAAATACCCAATATAAATGCCAAACATAGTCTTGCAGTAGTAATTTGATTGCTAGCAGGTTATTTTTATGATGGTACTGGCATATTCTGGAAGTATCTGGTTTCTATAATATAGATAAGTATAAAATATCTTTTTGGATTTCTTCTTTTTAGATGGGGTAGGTCAAGCTAAGGAAGTGGAAGACTCTACCCTGCATCAGCATAAATGGTACAAAAATTCAGTGTGATTTGTTCCCATGCTTGCTTTTTTTATGTGAACTGCCAAACAGGATAATCATCCTTACTGAGATTATCTGTTTTGTGAGTAAATAGGTATAATACAGGTAGAAGTATTCTGTTATATCACTATTGAGCTTGAGAGATTACTGTTGCAGTTAGATATATATGTATATACACACATCATCTTGTGAATCCCTTAAGTAATTTAAATTGCTCTTTTGCTTACTCCCGGAAGCCAATACAATCTGTTGAAATTATGTAATCTTTGATTAGACACCATAGTACTAGGAAGTGAATGAAAACAAACAATTTTTCAGCTCACTCCATGGGTATAAAATACCAGCTCTGACTTGCACTTGTCTGGATTATGTTTTAACCAAAGACGATTTGAGGTCTAAATTGTAACTCCTACCCTTCTGTCTCTGCGTATTGGTATTTAATGAGATGAATTGGTTTTGTGTCTCTCCCCTTAATGTGATTCTGTTCTTGTTGGGGGTGGGGGGAAGGG